CTCAATTTCACATCATCATTTACTTGCTGAATAAATATAGCCACATTTAGTCCTCTGGTAACACTTAAGGCACCAGTTCAAGGGTCATGGGCATGCGAGAAAATGCGTCGGCAGCTGTATTATCCAACCCCGATTTGTATTCAATAACAAAATCATAGCCAAGTAACTTAGCAATCCTACGTTGGTATTCCCCTGCCACAACTCGCTGATCAAGTAATAATTTAAAACTCTTTTGATCTGTTCGCACCGTAAACATCTTGCCCAGAAGATAAGGTCGCCATTTATGCACGCCAAAGACAACAGCCATTAACTCATGCTCGTAAATAGCTTTCAAACGATGCATTGGTGGCAAGGCTTGGCTAAAGAAAGTAATAGGATGTTGGTTCTGCATCAACACGGTACCAACACCCACCCCGGATGCATCAGTCTCGAGCACAAAGGGTTGCGAAAAATTCGGTAGTCCCAACACTGGTACATTCATGATCGCATCCTTCGACTGTTCAAAAGCCCGCCAGGCGTCCTCAGTCCAACCAAAATTATCCTTTTTAAGCTGCTGGGTTAACAAAAAAGTAGTGGAGCCATAATTCGCTACAAACTTCCAATAACGATTTGTCAACCCCAGAGTTGTTTAATGTTAGTCGGTGTGGGCCAAGCCTTCATCACCTCCAATTTGGAAGGATCTGCAGCTACCCCTGTTGCTGAGACCAAATGACCAAGGTACTCAATTTGCTGGGCAGGAAACTTACATTTTTTTAGGTTGGCCACAAACTTATTGGTAGCTAAGGCCCGGAGTACCAAGGCTAAGTGCTCTGCATGATCTCTCACAGTGGCACTGTAAATCAAGATATCATCAAAGAAAACTCATGATCCATTGAAACGTGGAAGGGGCGTTCCGGAGGCCAAAAGGCATAACCAATAACTCATAATGGCCCTAGTGTGTTCGAAATGCTGTTTTATGCAGATCCTTTGGGTCCACCCGAAGTTGACTTAAAACACAAATAAATGTAATTAAAACATGGAATTAAGTTGCATTCTTTCTTCCTTCCTTCCTAAGCACAACCAAGCATACTTATGCATCAGCCAAAAAAATGTAGAACAGCATGTGGAGGAAGATAGTGACTCGTCGGAGATGTAAGTACGTGAAGATATTGCACGAGTTTCACTTCATATTAGTGAAACCACCTTCCTACTTGAACTATTGAAGGAACAAGACATTGCCATCACTCATGACTTACTACTAACAGTGTAAAGACAGAAAAACGTAGTCCACTTCGTGTAATCTAATAGATAACGTATAAAATTCCACTTCTCCTTCCAGAAGGTAAACAGAATAGCACTTAATAAGAGCATCAAACTTGAGAATTTTTTAACGACTAAGACGTGTTTTTTTTTAATCTGCAGCGTTTGGTATAACAAATAATAATCACTTTAAAATTAAAATAAAATCATATTGAGTTTAAAAAACTTCCAAGAAAAACCCAGATTCTCCAAGGTGATTTTATAGTGGTTGACCAAAGAATCTTGAGAAAAAAAACATGAGATTCCTTAGTATTGCATAATCAGTTTTGGCAAAGCAGTAACCAAACGCATTAAAAAAAAACACCTTTACTCTAAGAAGAGAGAGAAAAAACACTTTAAAGGAAGTGCTTTGACTGAAACTTACCCTAAAAAGAACCCAAAATTCCAAAAACATGAGTAGTTAGTTCAGTTCCACCTCCAGTAACTAGAAATGCCCAAAAATAAAAAAGTGAAGAAACAGAGAAGTGGGAGAGAGTAAGGAAAGGACCTGTTTTGGGATTGTATAAGGAGATGAGCCTCTCATTAAAGAGCAATTCGGCCAAGATGATCCGGACCCAGACCCGGGTCTCTAAGCCGAACAACTTCTTGTTCCTGGAGTGAAGAATGGAGCCACCAATGCCGGAGACGAGCAGGACCGGGTCGCGGTCGGGTTCGGGTTGGGGCTTCCGGGTGCGGAAACATGGAAGTGGAAGAAGGCCTCCCCCAACCATGGCTTAATGAACTGAGTTGCTCTTTCAGCGAAGCTAATGGAAGGCTCCAAATTCCCAAATGGAGACCGGAGGGAGCCCCAGTTGTTGCTTGCTGGAACTGGAACTGCTGGAACAATTCAGGAAGGTCCTTGTGGGTTTTTCCTTTTTCTTTTTTTTTTTTCTTTTTCTTTTTCTGATATCGTTTGTGATTGGTTGGAAATTGGTAGGTAATTTTTGACCATCATGTACATTTATTGTCGCATTTATCTGTCGCGTGTGATATGGGTGCCTTTTTTCACTCCTACCACTTTGATTTTCTCATATACAATATCTCAATTTTATCATCCAACCTAAGTCCAATTTAGACTCGATTTAAAATCTTGACTCAGATCTAATTATATTCACTTATAAATTGAATTATGTATAGATATTTGATAATTAAATTTGATCGACAGAAGTGAACAAATAAAATCGACTAAGTCATTGGTTAGTTATTTTAAAATTTAAAAAAAAAAACACGATTTGTGAATCATTTAGAATAAAATATACCTAACTTCTTAAGATGAAATATTATCCTCACCAACATTGAGAAATTGACAATTTATTGATTTTTATAAGTACAAGAGTGCTCTTCGTTGTTAAAAAACCAAAAAAGTATCATTCCAATCCATAATGGTTAAATTAAAATTGAAAAAAAAAAAAAAAGAGTGCTCGTGAATCACGTGATAGAGAGAGGAGAGAGACACGTGAATCAAACAAGATGTTGAAGTGAAATTGTTATTAGGAGTTTTAGTTGTTGCCCTGTAAGTCCCCATTAAAGAGAGAGGGTTTTACTTGCATCCATCACCAATCAGATAGAAAACCCACCACTTAGAAATTGAACAATACTGCACCATTCGAGTCTCAAAGTCCTAAATCGCACTTTAACATATTTTTGTCAATTGTTTGGAGATCCATTGATTTTTATATTTTACATTTATTTTGTTATTATCTCGAACCATTCCACAATTCCACACTTCTACTTTTCATCGTCTCCTTCACCAACTTGTGAGGAACGTTGATTTTTCTTTCTTCTCATGTGGGTAATGGAAACTACCCCTTTCCCCTCTGCAAGAAGAGTCGCCTCCGCTACGGAACACAAGATTTCTAATTTAAAAATATATAAATAACTATCAAACCGAACTATAGTTTTTTCAATTCAATTTTGTCGAACACCATGGGACTTCCTTCAACGCTGTTGAAAACTGAGGGGCTCAATTCAAATTTCATATTTTGGTCAAAACCAATAGGATAAATGAAAAAAAAAATTGGAGTGTTAGAAGAAACTCCATTGTAACTACCTAAAATATGTTTGTGTGTTTTCTTTTTTAATATTATAGGGTTATCTGTTTTTGTCGAATGAGATTAGTCAGAATGCACACAAATTAGAAACCATAAACCAAATCGATCTAAAGCCGGTAGTAGGTAAGGACAAAGTTACCCCTCGAACAAGGTCATGATCAACATGTCTTCTAAACTAAACAAAATGCACTTTTTTCATAACAAAGTTGATATATCAAATCTTCTCAAGTGGAACTTATTCTGAAAGAACATTAAGTAGTAGTAATAATAATAATAAAATTGTAAATACTACAAAATTTCAACGCACACACCATATATAATATATATGGTAGAAATTGTCAATATTCAACCAAAGCTCAGTAATTTAAAATCTCCTCTATCTCTATTGATTTAAAAAAAAAAATTCTGACAAGAGCCAAAAGCAAAAGAAAAATGTAATATTCAAAGTCAAAAACGAGCCTTACGTTTCCGAGCAGTGTATTTAGAGTCGGGAGGCACAGCATTCCCTTTTCTTCTCATCTGTTCCTTTTTCTTCAGTACCCACTCTCTTCCTTTCCCTTACTTTGTAATTTTCTGCCTTTTCCTTGGCGCTGCCATACGAACCTACAATCGTATCGAAGAAAATCGGACTCAGACTTTTAACAATAGTTTTTTCAGAACAAAAAATAGTACAACATAGGAATAACATTACTTGTTTCATGGCTTCTCAGCAACATTTTCTAAACTACTTATTCAGATTTTATCCTTATATGAAAAAGGAATGAATGATAGACAGCATGGGAACATACGGTTTGATTTTCGTCATCTTCACCAATATCATCATCAGAACAGCTCTCAGAATCTTCATCTTTTCCCCTTGGAACAGTCGAACTAATAGATGGCAGACCACACGTAAGCACCAGGTATTCTTTTCTACTCCTTGCACTGTGTACCGATATCATGCTTGAGTTAGGGATCCATAAAAATTCTCATCATAAGATAACTCAATAATCAACTTGATCAAACAAATGAAAAATCTGAGATCCTTCTAGAATGAATGACAATACGATTTCACTTTGTTTGTTATGATTTTCACTTCATCTAGCAACTTCTTTCCTTTGATAACAAAAGTAGCATATGCATACCCTTATAAAATCAGAGGGAAAATACAAAAGTTTCGACAATGGTTCTACGACACATTTATTCTTTATAAAAATCAAACACATACCTTTGTGGGTAATCAACCACCACACCACCAGCAAATCCTGCGTCCATAGCAACCTAGGATCAACTCGCGTTGGTGCACGTTTTCAGGATAAACTTGCAATACTGCTCTTGCACCCCTTGCCAAGCATTTGTATAGCAGACTCAAAGAATGCCCTATAATGATTTGAGCAAAAAATTTAACATAATGAGAAATCTAAAGAACAAGATCATTTAAATATATTTTTGATTTGTCAATGAAAATCATCTGTCAGCAGACACAAATTATTCTTAAAGATGGAGAGAAGTTTGTACGACATACTTTAATCTTTGTCGCGGATTATGGCAGGATTTGTCAGCGTTGCACAACCACAGTAAAATTGTAACAAATAAAATAAAGAGAACAGAATATCAACGAATTAAGGTAAATGAAGGGAAAACTCTGCAGAAGCCTTCGGTTTCTCCTTATTTATACAAGTAAATTAATTAATGAAATATGTTTTTTTTCTTTTGTGAAAGAAACAATTTTATTGATATATGAAATTACATAGAGCCCATATAAGGGAGTACAAAAGCCCATAGATGGGTTACAAAAGGCACTTCCAATTGGACAGGAGGGAAGTGTAGCTATAGTAAAGAAAAGTAGAAGTTTTACACCATGATATAGCTTTAAACACTATAGCATCAAAAAAACACTCAAAAGATTGTGACTTGTCAATGAAGATTCTTTGATTTCTTTCACCCCAAGTAGTCCACAGAAAGGCTCGGATGAAATTTGTCCATAGCTGTTCCTTTATGTTTTTGAAGGGGTGTCCCATTAAGGTGGCCTCAAGGAGAAGTTTAGGGTCATTTGGTAATGCTGTGGACCAACCAAAAGCCAAGAGGATGACATTCCAAAAATCAGAAGCAAAAGTACAGGAAGTGAAGAGATGTTGTTGAGATTCCATGCTGTTCTTGCAAATGATACACCATTGTGGAGAAATAGCCATAAAAGGGAGTCTTCTTTGTAGCTTATCGTTGGTACTGATGGCTCGGTGACTAAGTTCCCATTGGAAGAAATTCACTTTTTTAGGGCAATTTCCTTTCCAAATAATGTTGTATAGGCTAGTTTGTGGAGCTTGGTTGCTATGTGTGAGGTCCTTTGTGAGGGAGCTGGTGGAAAAAGAACCATTTGTTTCTAGTTTCCAGTATACAACATCTCTATCTGTTGTTAAATGAATCTCTGATAGCCTAAGGTTAAGATCAACCCATTCAATTATCTCATCATCTTTAAGGTTCCGCCTTAATCCCAAATTCCAACAACATGTAATATGTTTTGAAGCGAGATATTTAACAACAAAACTAATTGTTTATAGAACTGTTTCAGAGAAGCAATCCTTAAGAGAAACTTTTAAGGTTAAAAATAAACTGAGACGTGCTCTTCAAATAATCATCTTATTTTTTAACAAACACCTAGTTAATCCTAATTATCTAAGAACTACTCTTAAAATTTTCAAAAACCAATAAATTGGTCATGTAAACTTGAAAGTAGGAACCAGAAAGGACGAGGCAGGATCCTGCTAATGATACAGATTTAAACATTTGGGATAAGCTGAAACTAAAATCCACAATAGCCATATGAAAATAAATGATCTCAGAAGCACAAACCAAGAACAAAAGCAAACCTGAACTGCAGAGATGCTAATAGCCCCATCAATATCTCCAGGACGAATTCCTAAGCCCTGCACCAGAATGCAAGAACAAATGATGCAGGAACTTTTTTTTTCTTTAATGAAAGCAAAGCTTTCAAAGGAGCATGCAAAAAGACAGCCCAACAAAAAGCATCAAAATAAAACAAAAAGGGGCTCCAATATAACAAATAAGACCTAAAGAAAATAGTTAAAAATAAACTATTGCATTTTTTTTATTTCTTTCTTTCATATTAAGATAAATCACTTGTATTTAATGACATTTCTTTAATACATAAATACATGAGTAATTGATTGTGTTGCAACAAACAATCTTTACTGAATGCAATGATAGAAAACGTTAATATTGCAAAAATAAAGATGGAACAATGAATGCACTAATAAAAGATCAACTGGAGATTTTTGGGTGTTCTTGGCTAGTAATAGGAAGTGTAAGGCGATGGTGGAGGAGATTATGCCATGCCCCCATTTAAGGATAAAGGGGCCTTGTTGTGGCAGATTTGTTTTTTCTCTATCTTGTGAGGTATCTTGTGGGGTATTTGGATCTAGAGGAATAGTAGAATATTTAGGGGAGGAGATGTCTCGGGAGGAGGTTTGGGATCTAGTTAGGTTTAACACCTCTTTGTGGGGTATCGAGTTTTAAGGCTTGTTGTAATTACCAATTGGCTGTCATTCTTTCGGATTTGAGTCCTTCCTTGTAGGTTGGTACCCATTTGGTGGATTGTTTTTTAATATTCTTTCATGTTTCTAATGAAATCTCGATATCTTATCCGAAAAAAGAATCACTCTTCTTCAACAATGTTCACCCAAATATGCCTTATGCAGCATAAAAGTTTATATTTTAAATGCAGGACTCCATTCGACATGCAACCAATCATGCAAAGACACCACATCAAAATACAATAAATTCTGTTCTCGTATTGCTAGAGGAAGAGCTATATTAAAGATAATGGAACCACTAACAGTAAACTAGATTGCTTGCAATCTCACAAATGAAGTACCTGACCCATGTCACCAAGTAAAAGGTCACCATCAGTCTCCCGCTCCAATGCAACATCTGAATTTTTTTAAAACAGCATTCTTAAGAAGGAAAACTGAATAAAGTTCCGGGAAATAAGTAAAATATTTAAACATCCTTTACCTTTTATTCAAATTTATTTTAATCATTCACGTACTTAGCATTGATTGTGAGATATCCAAACCAATCCATTGGTGTCCATGCTCAGACAATGTTTCTCCACTCAGACCCGATCCACACCCTGAAAATCACAGAACATACTCATTCAGAATAATATTTTCAAAGGCATACACGAACTTCAAACTACTAAAAAAATATTGAAGCATGATATCTGAAAGCTAATTAGCATAATACATCATTTTGGAAATTGTCCAATTCTATTTTATCAAGTACGGGAACAAATTATAGTTTATTGCCACGTCATATTGACGTGGATGTGTCCTTCACGTTGACTTCCATAAAAGAACTAAAAAGATTCATGTAAAGAAGGAAATAGAAATAGAAGATTTATGCTCAAATTAATCGATTAGGATACATGGAAAAGCAAAATATTAATTATCCAATGCTTGAAGAAAGTGAAATAGTATGTCACTTTCACTATTCAGTCTATTCATGTCCATCTCTTTTCTACGATCTAAAATTTCAGAAGCCCATGAGAGATATAAACTTCAAGCCATATTTGCATTTTTAACGCTTGGAGACTAATCTTGCATGTAGAGAAAGAAAATTACCAATATCAAGGAGCAGTCTGGGAACTCCATCATCAGGCAAAGCAAGAAGCTCCAGTGCTCTATCTGTGAGCTTTGCCTTCGTACACACCAAAAAACAAATAAACAAACTCAAATAGCATTGAGAAAGCACTCCTATACCTCCCAAAAACCCACCACCCTACTTTTAGAAACCAGCAACAAAATCAGTAGCCTCAATTAAATTTACCAGTTACAAATCCTGTTCAATAACTAAAGTGTTCTTTTTTCTCCCTCTTTTTGGAGCTACATACATGTTACTACCGCTTTCTAGATCAAAATTAACGCTATAAAAGGCATTAATTAGAGATGGCTGCAGGCATACCTGAATTTCAATGATACGGGAGGATGAAGTATATTTTGAGCCTCAGCATCGTTGTAGAATATCTCTGGAGGAGCTTGCAGTTCTGGTCTCGACGTCATATTCAAGCACGGAAGAAAATCTATGCAATACAAAAAGGGAATTCCAAAGGTCTCGAAACTCTAAAACCTACATTCAACAAGTAAGATCATCTAGTGAGTTGATTATACTCATTCTTCCCCTCACTTATATGCCCAAAATAATAGTATACGACCCCATTTATAGTATCCTAATTCTATTTTAGTTTCTCACTACTCCTAAACCACCTTGTATGTTCAAAATATGTTTTGATTTCAAAATCCCATGAGAAATATACACAGCAAGATTTTAAAATTTCAAAAGTTAGAACAATCATTATGTCTAATATAATGGAGCGCTCATGGGCTGGGTAGCCAAGTTGGTTCTGCTCAAAATTAACAATTTAACATTAATGCGAAAAAAAATTATAGGCAAAATAATAAATGAACCATCAAAATTTCTGTAGATAAATACAACCTCAGTGAATGCCATGAGAATTGAGTGAAACTTCCATAAGAGCCCTAATTGCCAGTATCATCTTCCTTGACGAAAATCGTTCATAAATAACAGAATGAGACCGACAAGTTCACTAGAACTCATTTTTCTTGTTTTGTACATTTTTCAGGTTAAAAATTTGGAGAACTTTTTTTATATCATTTATCATTTACATAGTAAATATATAAAATAAATAAATATAACATACAAAATTAGAAAATTTTAATTTCATATAAGACAACATATTTCTTCTTATTTTTCAATAAAAAAGAAAGAACAATAAATAAGAGTAAAAAAAAAAAAGAGAGAAAACTAGAAACCAAACAAGAAAACAACAATATATGCGTAAACATTACCAAAAAAGTCTTAATAATCAATAATTTTTGTTGGTTGAATGTCCTTCAGTTTATGAGATGCGGACAAATCTAGGATTCAAATGGCATGCACAACCACAGATTCAAGTTTGGCAAAAAAATACTGTTGATGGGAAACCTTCTGTTGGTTTGAATTCATATGGTCCAACTGAAAGTTTTGCTTTATTTGCAGAAGCATTAAGAAATAACAAGGTACTATATTCAAACTTTACATTGATTGGTGATAGTTTTGGTATTACTCTATTTGAAAACGCATTACGAAACAACGAGCTGCTATGACTATATTTAGTTGGCTTTTATAGGCAGCCAACTAACCTTTAGGAATAACTAACGCCTAGTTTTAAAATAAGACAGCTAACCAACGGTTAAAATAAAAGACTACGCAGTACATCACATGTCCAAAAGCACTTTCCATTCAAAATAATTATGTTTGGGAGCAGCTTAAAAACATTAGAAAAAGTAAAAAAAAGCACTTAAAAATTTATTGATTGATGAAGCTTCGAACATTTCCTATTCACCTTAAAATTTTCCAACAACGTAAGAGAAAATATGTTAGAAGTTCTGAAACTCTACATCATCCTCTGAAGTAATTTTGATTGCCTTTTTTTTTTAATAAGTGCTGAATAGGAAGACGAAAAAGAGTATGCTAATTTGTCAAATAGTATGTAATTTGTCAGTTCACATAGATTGAAGGCATATGTGATGGACTAAACTTTTTAAAGTATAACGAGACTTTTATTGTAAGTGTTTTAACTCAATCTAATTTCCTCATTAAAAAAACAATTGAGTTAAAACTCTAAGAATAAAGTCTCGTTCAAAATTAAAAAGTTCCAGGTCAAAGAAAAAACACCCCTGCAGTCTCAGGCAGCAAATAAAACTGCTGCATTTGGAAAAAAGAAAAGATTGAGTTAAAACACTAAAAATAAAGCATCATTCTACCTCAAAAAGTTTGAGTCCAAACAAGGCTACTCTTGTAGAATATGATAGTAAAACCAGCCATGCCTGCAGTCTGTAAAAATGAAAAAATTACTGCATTTCAGTATACTTTAACTTGACAATCTACCAAGTAAAACTAAATGTATAGTTAAACCAAGGAGGGTTATTAAGACTGTCTAAAGGTTTTTACTTGGCCTCGGCCATCATAGTTCAGCTGATGGTAGATTATAATAGCTTACTGTCATCTCCTGAAGTGCTCTCTCGATGCAGAGATAATCTCAAGACAAAATACAACAATGAAAACACATGAAATTTAAACAAGAGAAGTGATTTAGGGACCAAATATAAAGTAAAAACACTCCCACATCACAATTTTCTCCCTGTATCATCATCCTTATTTCCAAATTATCATTGCCAGCAAAAGCTAACTCATCAAACATCAAATATCAAACAAACAGTACAAGCACAATTAATTGTTAACACATGAGCTTTGTGAATCCAATAAAGTGAAGGATAAGAGTGCCTAAAGAATCGATCGTCCCTGAATCTCAAAAAGCGGCTACAGAAAGCCTTCATACTTCATAAACTATCAATATAAATACACTTATCTTCCATTTCTTCTATGCTTCATCATGTTTAATACCAATTCTATGTGACCAAAACAATTACATATTCAACACGGGAAAAGTAGAGACCTATTAGAAGTTCAAATGACATCTGAAACTATGAAGAAAAATGAAGATACAAGAAAACCTCATAAATCACATACCCATGCGAACCTAGTTGGCTCAACTTGTTTCATGTGATCCTAATATTAGACTTGAACAGGGGTATATTGATATCTCCATTACCATAGGATCATAGGTTGGAATTTTTTATCATCAAATAATCCAAACCACCGTGGAACTCATCAAAGTTGTCACCAATAATCTCCACACGAGCAACAACCATCTTCAAAATGATGGAAACGATTGGCATCTCTAACAATTATAACCCTATTTGCAACCTTTGAAATGAGTTTGACAGCAGTGTGACAATCATCGCACATCCTAAGGTTCTTAATAACACGGATTGGTGCACCTAATGGCGTCTTCATCAGGCCATATGCTACGGCAAGCTTCTCACTGTGATAGCTTAGATTGTCTAGCTTTTGCTCATCATCAATATCATGCAATACACCAGCGATATCAGGAACATACCCCAATGGTTGAATCCTAGATAACAAGTCCCGTACCTTTTCATATATCTGACTGGACTCAGGGTGTTTATTATCTTCAGATGTAAAAACGTGGGCAATATTTCTTATTTCCAACCAGCTCACTCCAGGTTCTTTCTTGACATTTCTTTCCCTCATCAATTTCCGGATCTTAACAACACCATCCCACCTCCTAACTCTCGCATGCATGTTTGATAATAGAATATAACTTCCGACATCCTCAGGGTCCATCTGTAGCAAGTACTCTGCTATTTGCTTCCCTTTATCATAATTTCTATGAACATAACAAGCAGTGAGAAGGGTGCGCCAGGCAACGACATCCCAATTGATTGGATTTGACCTCATAAAATTCTCAGCTTCATCTAGCTGTCCAGATCGACTTAGGAGTCCAATAATGCAGGTATAGTGCTCCAGTCCAGGAACAATACCAAACTGTTTCATCAAATGATTAAAATAGTAGAATCCTTCGTGCACCAGACTTAAATGGGCACAGGCAGAGAGAACACCAATAAAGGTTACATAATTGGGACACTCTCCAGTAGCCAACATATCCTGGAACATGCTTAAAGCTTCCTTGCCAAGACCATGGTGGGAGTGGCCAGTTATTATTGCATTCCAGGTAATGGAATCACAACAAATCATATTTGAGAACACGTGTTGTGCGGCCAAAATGTCCCCACTCTTGGAATACATAATGATCAAGGCATTTCCTACAATAACATTGCCTTTGAGACCTGATTTCTCAGCACGTGCATGTAACTGATCTCCATGGCTTAGTGCAGACAAACCTGCAGCAGAGTTTAACGATACAGCCAGTGTATATTCATTGGGAGGAATACAATCAATTTCCATCTTTGAAAACAGATTCAAGGCTTCTTCAAAGAATCCATTCTGAAAATAAGCTGCCATGATTGTTGTCCAAGAAACCACGTTTTGGCTTTGCAACCGATCAAAAAAGGTTCTTCCACTCAGCACTTTACCGCATTTCCCATACATGTCAATGATAGAACTTCCAATATAGACATCATAGTCAATGTCATTCCTCAACATTTGGGCATGAACTTGCTTACCTAATTCTAAATCTTTAAGACTAGCACAAAGGCGAAAAATTGTAACATAAGTGGCATTATTCCATTCTATTTCTTCACCAATCATTAAGTTAAGAACTTCTATAGCCTCCCTCAAATGACTGTGCTCTAATAGCCCATTTAGAACCAAGTTGTAACAAAATATGTCATAGCCAGGCACAGTATCCAAGATCTGCATTGCTGCTCTCACATCTGAACATTTAGAGTACATCTGAATAAGTGCATTTTTAACATATTGATGAAGCTCCAAGCCAGACTTTAACGCATACCCATGGCACTGCTTCCCTTCAACATACATTTGGCTACCACAACAAGAAGATACAATAGTGGCAATAACATATTCATTCGGGCAAATATCATCCTCCACAACCATCTTTTTCAGCAACCGAAAAACTTCCAAGGAGCTACCATTTTGCATGTACCCAGCCATTAAAGCACTCCAAGAGACCACATTTCGCTTAGGCATACGATCAAACATCTGCCGGGCAACTAATAGTTCATCACATTTCGCATAGAAATTAATAAGTGAATTAATTTGGTTCACTCTGCAGTCTCCAGGGGTGTGATTGGTAATGATCAAATGGGCGTGGATTATTCTACCAAATTTTAAGTTCTTGGCGTCTGCAGCAAGTTTCAATAGCTTTATTGGGTTCTGGGTAGGAGAAGCAAAGTAATTAGATTTGAATAGAAATGGCGGGAGACCACTAGTTGGTAGTTTTAACGTCGGCATAACAATGCTTTAAATTTCCACAGCTAGAAAGGGACTCCACAAAGAATACTATGAAAAGAAAATGGAAGAACTTGAACTATTTCCTCCAAACAAGCTCTAATGTTCTATTAACTACGCCAGTGGAAGGCAGCGATTCCCAATCCATGGTTCCATGGAGTGACAATTACCATCGCCGAGTCGCCGCCACCACCGCGCCGCCTCTCTGTTCTAACGAGTAACGATTAGTGATGAACAGGGGTTGGGTTTTGCAGGGTTTTTACCTAACCGAGGGTCTCGGTTTATGAAAATGGAGAACCGAAGCCGATTGAAGTGGAATAGGTTGAAAAGAAGAGAAACGATAGAGATTGGGATTGAGAGAGTACCTGCGGAGATCCCATTCGAAAGCGGCGGCGGCGGCCGCGTCGGATAAGGAAGTCGAATCAGTTGCCCGCTGAAGAAGAAGCTTACTCCAATTCGCTGCTCTCTCTCTCTGAGTATGAGCATCAACACTGGATATTTTTTTTTTTACAACCTATTTTCGAAATATTACTTTTAAAAACGTTATTCCATAATGCTTTAAGAAATTGAGAAATTTGAATATATGGTCCCTTCTCTGATTAAAATTGGAGTTACGACTCCCTTTTAAAAAAAAATTTATAGCCACCCTTATTTATAACCCCTTTCAAAATTGGTAAAAATGAAATTATTTTATTACCTCATTCTCATTGACTCTTCCCCTCCCTACATTCCCCAAATTAAAACCCTAAACCTATATTCTCGAACCATTCGTCTCCCTCCGTTCCCTCACTATTCTCGGATCCTTTGTCTCCCTCTATCCACAGTGAACATTTTATTCCATTTGTTTCAACGTTTTGCATCCATCATCACCAACCAACATCGTCGTCGTCTCAGATCTCGGAAGAAGCGAGGTTATTGGCTCTAATCTTCGAAAAAATTCATTACTTAGTGTTAGATTTCCAGATATTGAAAACAGAAGAATCGTTTTCCAAATTCAATCTCGTACTCAATCCTGCAAATCGAATAAAATTAGGTGAGATAAGAAATGGTTAACAAAAAAAAAAAATTGCTCATCCCGGATTGTCCCAGACCAATCTTGGTTCGGGATTAGTCTGGGACATGTCTCAGACCAATCTTGGTTCGAGATCAGTCGGGGATGTGTCCTGGATCATGTTCCAAACCAAATTGCACCGAGATTGAACGCGGGATTGAATTATTCAATCCTGGTGCAATATAACTTCAATGCGGACCACGTTTTTTTTCCAACAACTCTGTCCAAGCAGAATATGAGCATGGGTAAATATTTCAATTAATTTCAACAATCTTAAAGCAAAATTGTTGAAAGTGTAACATAATTGCTTTAATTATTAATTAAAGAATGTTTATTTTTATTTGAATATATTTATTTTAGTGACGATTTTTTTTAATAAATTCACATTACAGTATTTAATTTTTTATATAATAAACTAAAATTATTATTTTAATAATAAAATTATAACCGAATTTCTAATAGGATGTTTTTTGAGTCAAACCGATTCAGATTATTCCAATGTTAAAACTGTGTGAATATTTTTACGAATACACTTTTTTGATATAGAAGTGTGCTGTGAAAAGGTGGAGACAATGAAAACATGATGTTTGTTTGTTTTGAAGTTCAAAAAATGTGTAAAACATAGGTTTATTTTTTCAAAAATAAAAAATTGAAGAAGTCATAAGGGAAAGTGGGGTCACATATTAGTTTTTTTCAAAAGCGGGTCATAAATCTAAAATCAGTTGTGGGAGGGATCATATATTAAAAATTGCCTAAAAAATTGTTGGTCCGTCTCTTAATAATGTGATAGTGCATAGAAATTGAAATTTTTGACCTCTTTCATAATTCTATTTGGATTTGTGACTCTTATCATTTTTAGTCCCTGTAAAATTATCAAAATGTCCTTGCTTTTCAAAAAAAGTAAAGTTTTCTGCAATATTTTACTTCCTCCACCAATGTCTCCTCTTAAACATCACACCATCTTTTTAATTTTAATCTAATATGAAAGGCAAAAAATCAACTTTTAAATGTGAAGAATTCAAATCAATTAGAAAAAAAATCTAATTTTTTTAATTTGAAGAATAAATTATGAATCTAAATCGAATAATCGAATTTGCATAATATCGGCCCAAGATTGCATAAATCCATATTTAATTAAAAATAAAAAGTAAATTGCATAAATCTCGGGTCAAAATCGGAATTTTAATTTAGGAAGATGGCAAATATTGCGTGTACCATAATAATTGAAAAAACAAATTTGGATGAATCTTGGCCCGGGATACAACAATCCCGGACCGGGATTATTTCATGCAATTTAAAGGTTTTTAATGATTATTCGAATGATTTTGTTTTTTTTTTCCTTCAATTTTGTGAGGTTTTTTTTTTTTGTCAAGCTTGTGATTTTTTTAGCGTTCGACTGTCGTAATTTTTATATATGGGTTTTTCTTCCAGAGAATGTGTTTCTATGTTGTTTGTTTTTTCTTATAAAAAGAGTTTAGTAAAAGAACAACTTACTGAAAACTCGTTCTTCCAAACAGAAATAGATTTGACAAAAAACCTACCGAGTCGTGAGGCAGAAATAGAAAGCAAATCCGAACAGAGCTTTCATGGAAGAAATGGGAGACGAATGAGAATCAATCGAGGGTTTAGATAAATTGAAAGGGGGAAGAAATTGGGGAGAAAAAAAAAAAGCAAAAATCTAGGAATCAAACATGTCTTATTAACCAAACAAAATGCATTTTTTTTTCTGTAACAAAGTCGATATATCAAATCTTCTAAAGTGAAACTTCGAGTTAAAAGAACACTAAGTAATAATAATAATAATACATTGTAAATACTACAAAATTTCAACGCACACACCATATACAATATATATGGTAGAAATTGTCAGTATTCAATCAAAGCACAGTAATTTAAAATCTTCCCTCTCCCTATTGATTTAAAAAAATTTCGGACAAGAGCCAAAAGCAAAAAGAAAAATGTATAATACTCAAAGTCAAAAACGAGCCTTACGTTTCCGAGCAGTGTATTTAGAGTCGGGAGGCACAGCATTCCCTTTTCTTCTCATCTGTTCCTTTTTCTTCAGTACCCACTCTCTTCCTTTCCCTCTCTTTGTAATTTTCTGCCTTTTTCTCGGTGCTGCCATACGAACCTACAACCGAATCGAAGAAAATCGGACTCAAAACTTATGACAGTTTTTCAGAACAAAAAACAGTACAACATAGGAATAACATTACTTGTTTCATGGCTTCTCAGCAACATTGCCTAAACTACCTATACATATTTTATCCTTATATGAAAAGGGAATAAATTAGACAGCATGGGAACATACGGTTTGATTTTCATCATCTTCACCAATATCATCATCAGAACAGCTCTCAGAATCTTCATCCTTTCCCCTTGGAACACTCGAACTAATGGATGGCGGACCACACGTAAGCACCAGGTATTCTTTTCTACTCCTCGCGCTATGTACCAATATCATGCTTGAGTTAGAGATCCATCCAAATTCCCATAATAAGATGACTCAATAATCAACTCGATCAAACAAATGAAAAATCTGACATCCTTCTAGAATGAATGACAATACGATTTCACTTTGTTTGTTGCTATGCTTTTCATTTCGTCTAGCAACTTCTTTCCTTTGAGAACAAAATTAGCATATGCATACCCTTCCACTAATATAATGGCATACAAACTGGTAAGCAAATCAGAGGGAAAAAACTCAAGATGAACAAATGCAATGTAAAAAAGTTTGAACTATGGTTTTACAACACGTTTATTCTTTATAAAAATCAAACACATACCTATGTGGGTAATCAACTACCACACCACCAGCAAATCCTGCACGCATAGCAAAACCTAGGATCAACTCGCGTTGGTGCACGTTTTCAGGATAAACTTGCAATACTGCTCTTGCACCCCTTGCCAAGCAATTGTATAGCGACTCAAAGAAGGCCCTATAATGATTTGAGCAAAAAATTTGACACAATGAGAAATCTAAAGAATAAGATCATCTGAATATGTTTTTGATTTGTGAATAAAAATCATCTGTCAGCAGCATACAGATTATTCTTAAAGATGGAGAGAAGTTTGTAAGACATACTTTAATCTTTGTCGCGGATTATGGCAGGATTTGTCAGCATTGCACAACCACTGTAAAATTGTAACAAATAAAATAAAGAGAACAGAATATCAACACGTTAAGGTAAATGAAGGGAAAACTATGCAGAAGCCTTTGGTTTCTCCTTATCTATACAAGTATATTAATTAATGAAATATGTTTTGAAGCGAGATATTTAACAAAGAAACTAATTGTTTATATAACTGTTTCGGAGAAGCACTTCTTAAGAGGAACTTTTAAGGTTAAAAATAAACTRAGACGTGCTCTTCAAATAATCAACTTATTTTTTAACAAACACCTAGTTAATCCTAATTATCTAAGAACTACTCTTAAAATTTCCAAAAACCAATAAATTGGTCATGTAAACTTGAAAGTAGGAATCAGAAAGGACGAGGCAAGAAGGAACCAAAAAGGATGAGACAAGATCCTGCTAATAATACAGATTTAAACATTTGGGGTAAAGTTGAAACAAAAATCCACAATAACCATACGAAAATAAATGACCTCATAAGCACGAACCAAGAAGAAAAGCAAACCTGAACTGCAGAGATGCTAATAGCCCCATCAATAACTCCAGGACGAATTCCTAAGCCCTGCACCATAATGCAAGAACAAATGATTGAGGAACTTTATTTATTTATTTTTCCTTATTTTTTTAATGAAAGCAAGGCTTTCAAAGGAGCATACAAAAAGACAGCCCAACAAAAAGCGTCAAACTAAAACAAAAAGGGGCTCCAATATAACAAATGATACCTAATGAAAATAGTTAAAAATAAACTATTGCATCTTTTTCTATTTTTTCTTTTATATTAAGATAAATCACTTGTATTTAATGACATTTCTTACATAAATACATGAGTAGTTGATTGTGTTGCAACAAACAATCTTTACTGAATTTAATGATAGAAAACGTTAATATTGCAAAAATAAATATGGAACAATGAATCCACTAATAAAAGATCAGCTGGAGATTTTTGGGGTGTTCTTGGCTTGTAATAGGAAGTGTAAGGCGATGGTGGAGGAGGTTTCGCTCTGCCCCCATTTCAGGATACAGGGGCCTTGTTGTGGCAGACTTTTTTTTTTTTCTCCTCCTTTTGGGGTATTTGGATCAAGAGGAATAGGAATATTTCGGGAAGGAGATATCTTGGGAGGAAGTTTGGAATCTAGTTAGGTTTAACCCTTCTTTGTGGGTATCGATTTCTAAGACTTTTGTAATTACTAGTTGAGTGTCATTCTTTTGGATTGGAATCCCTCCTTGTAGGTGGGTCCCCATTTGGTAGGCTTGTTTTTGTTTGCCCTTTGCCCTTGTATATTATTTCATGTTTCTAATGAAATCTCGATTTCTTATCCAAAAAAAAAGAATCACTCTTCTTCAACAATGTTCACCCAACTATGCCTTATGCAGCATAAAAGTTTATATTTTAAATGCACAACTCCATTCGACATGCAACCAATCATGCAAAGACAACACATCAAAATACAATAAGGAAGAGCTATATTAAAGATAATGGAACCACTAACAGTAAACTAGATTGCTCGCAATCTCACAAATGAAGTACCTGACCCATGTCACCAAGTAAAAGGTCACCATCAGTCTCCCGCTCCAATGCAACATCTGAATTTTTTTAAAACAGCATTCTTAAGAAGGAAAACTGAATAAAGTTCCGGGAAATAAGTAAAATATTTAAACATCCTTTACTTTTTATTCAAATTTATTTTAATCATTCACGTACTTAGCATTGATTGTGAGATATCCAAACCAATCCATTGGTGTCCATGCTCAGACAATGTTTCTCCACTCAGACCCGATCCACACCCTGAAAATCACAGAACATACTCATTCAGAATAATATTTTCAAAGGCATACACGAACTTCAAACTACTAAAAAAATATTGAAGCGTGATATCTGAAAGCTAATTAGCATAATACATCATTTTGGAAATTGTCCAATTCTATTTTATCAAGTACGGGAACGAATTATAGTCTATTGCCACGTCATACTGACGTGGATGTGTCCTTCACGTTGACTTCCATAAAAGAACTAAAAAGATTCATGTAAAGAAGGAAATAGAAATAGAAGATTTATGCTCAAATTAATCGATTAGGATACATGGAAAAGCAAAATATTAATTATCCAATGCTTGAAAGTGAAATAGTATGTCACTTTCACTATTCAGTCTATTCATGTCCATCCCTTTTCTACGATCTAAAATTTCAGAAGCCCATGAGAGATATAAACTTCAACCCATATTTGCATTTTTAACGCTTGGAGACTAATCTTGCATGTAGAGAAAGAAAATTACCAATATCAAGGAGCAGTCTGGGAACTCCATCATCAGGCAAAGCAAGAAGCTCCAGTGCTCTATCTGTGAGCTTTGCCTTCGTACACACCAAAAAACAAATAAACAAACTCAAAAAGCATTGAGAAAGCACTCCTATACCTCCCAAAAACCCACCACCCTACTTTTAGAAACCAGAGACAAAATCAGTAGCCTCAATTAAATTTACCAGTTACAAATCCTATCCTTTTTTTTTTTTTTAATTTTTATAATTGGGAGTTGAAGCTTTGCTCCCGTACACCCAGAACACCCGTGCCCCCCAAGGCCTAAACCCAAGAGACATCAAGTGTTTTTTGTATCAAGCTCACCTGAAGGTTCGAGCTTGAGACCTCTAAGCCAGTATGACCAAGAGATCAAAAGCCCTTGCCAAAGGGGCCCCCCTCGTTACAAGTCCTATTCAATAACTAAAATGTTCTTTTTTGAGCTACATACATGTTACTACAACTTTCTAGAACAAAATTGATGCTGTAAAAGACATTAATTAGAGATGGTGGCAAGCATGCCTGAATTTCAATGATACGGGAGGATGAAGTATATTTTCGAGCCTCAGCATCGTTGTAGAATATCTCGGGAGGAGCTTGCAGTTCTGGTCTTGACGTCATATTCAAGCACGGAAGAAAATCTATGCAATAGAAAAAGGGAGTTCCAAAGGTATCAAAACTCTAAAACCTACATTCAACAAGTAAGATCATCGATTGAGCTGATTCCATTCAATATTCCCCACACTTATTTGCCCAAAATAATATTATACAGCCTCATTTATGGAATACTAATTCTATTTGACAATTAGTTTGTCAGTGGTCCTAAACCACCTTGTATGTTCAAAATATTTTTTGCTTTAAAAACCCCACGATAAATATACAGAGTAAGATTTTGAAGTGTCAAAAGTGAGAACCATCAATATGTCTAATAATAATGGAGTGTTCGTGGGCTTAGCGAAGTTGGTTATGCTCAAAATTAACAATTTAACACACAAAAGAAAATGTAGGCAAACAAATAAATGAACCATCAAAATTTCTGTATATAAATACAAGTTCAGTGAATGCCATGAGAAGTGAATGAAACTTCCATAAGAGCAGAGTAGCTGCCTATTGACGAAAATCATTCATAAACAACAGAATGAGACCAAAAAGTTTGCTAGAACTCAAACTCATCTACGTAGATATAAATACACACCAGAAAACTAATTTGCTTATGTGGAGAAAACCCAGTAAACAATTATAGTTTGATGTCTCCAGCCATAGGATCGAGATTTCCGATAGATAGAAGGTAAAAAGAGACAAAAATCAGAAGAAAAAAACTTGCTGTTACCGAATTTGCTCTCTACGACGGCTACGGTAGCAGACCAACTCCGAACAGAGTTCCTGCAGTGACGGCGGCAAGCGAATGGCAGCGGCGCGAGAGAGACTCGAGACTAGAGAGAGGACGCTAAAACTACAAATTTAGGACTCTCAATTACCGAGAGTGAACATGGGTTCGGTGATTCGGTTTAGTCTGACCATCCGAACCGATCGGACTACCGGTTTTGCAACGATTTAGGAAGAGGAAGAATTTTTACTTACCAGTGCGAGCGGCGCGGCGGGAAGAGGAGGGGTCTGTAAGCGGCCGAGGAGGCGAATAGAAAAATACTATGAACAAACCTAATGTTTGGTAATTTAAATTTTAAATTTATAAAAATAAGAAACAAGACTGTGGTATTTATTTTTTTTTAAACAAAAACTTCATTAACACACATAAATGTCCTTCTCGGCCAGAAGACTGAACCAACTAGGGATATTAAATTCTCAACTTTTCACTCTCCCGAATCTCGTATCTTCTACGAGCAAGCGAATCTACACATCGATTTACTTTCCTATCCACTTTTTCAAAAGAGATTACTCCCACCATATTCTTGCAACATTTTGATTTCGTTAACAATTCAACAAATCTCAAAAGGATCAATCTATTCTCCTTGCAATAGCTTCCTCACGTTTGTCGAATCTGTTTCTACCCATATCGTAGGGGTCAGTTGTGGGAGAGATTCGAACTTAACTTTAAAAATAGATTGTAGTTTGATTAATTTCTAAGAGTATATATTCCAGTTGACATGATGATTTTGAAAATACTATAATCACTTAAATCGTTTCAATATTAAAATAATGTTTCATACGTGATTTTGAATGTTCTCAAAATGTTTTCAAAATCACTTTAGTGGTTCTCGATCAATTACTGAGGCGATTATCTATGCCATTTTTAAAATAATAATAATAATAAATTAAAGTTTAAAATACGATGGTTTTAAATTTCAAATTTATCTCAACTACTTATTTTCAAATATATATTTTGAATTTTCTCCTTTCTACTTATTTTTTGTCGTTCTAAATTTAAAATAATAGAGAAAATATTAATTGAAGGGAAAAGTAGGGATAAAGTTTTTTCTATGCAGCATAGATATAGATTAATATAATCTGACATGGATAAGCTGCAGAAAATTATCTCGTTTCTTAATGAACAAGA